GCTTCTTCAATTACTTTCAAATTCTCTTTGATAGTTTTTGAGCTGTAGACTAGATCAATATCATTCACATAACTTGAAGATCACACTATTCTCATATTTCTATTTTTGAATAGATATGCAGTGTATATTGTAAATAAAATGAGTGAGATTGAAGATCTCTGTGATACTTCTATTTTTATCTCAGTCTTGTCTTGTTTCATTTCATCAAAGAAGAGTTGTATAATTCTTTTAGATATAAAACAGTTAACTCATTTTATTAGAAAAAGTGGCAGTTTTAATATCTTCAATGTCTGAATTAACTTTGACTTTGAAACATGATCAAATGCTTCTTTTATATCAATAAAAACTGCAGTTGAGACCAGATCCTCATGCTTTGCTATTTGAATATCATGAACAACTGAGAGAACAGTGTCAATTGCAGAACACTGTTTTCTATCTCTCATTTGTTCACTGAATAAAAGAGAATCATCTATAGAGCTTATAAAAGATAGTTAAGTAGCTATTATCTTTTCTAAAACCTTTCCTAGACAGTTCAATAGAGATATTACTCTATATGACTTAGAAATTGAAGTTTTTCTATTAGGTTTTGCAAGAATCACTCCAGTGGCTTCTCTCCAGCATTCAGAATGATATTCATTTTTCAAGAGATTGAAAAAGAGCTCAAAATATTTATTCTTTAAGTAGAAATACATATTTTGAATAATCAAGTGATTAATTGAATCAGGACCTGCAGCAGTTTTAACAGAACTTGAGAAGATAGCTGACTCTAATTCATCTTGTGTAAGATCAGGCCATTCCCAGTCATTTTCATCAATGTAGTTGAGAAGTGATATATTCTCTTTCTCTGAATCTGAATCTGAATCTGGTGAGTTCTGAAAGAGAATTCTTATGAAAGCTTGACATTTTTCCTCAAAAGAGTTTGCTGTATATGATTCATTCTAAAACTCATATTCTAGAGCTGGAAGTTTTGCTACACTTCTTGTTTTAGTATAGTTAAAAGCTTTAAAAACTTCCTTTTCTTGTGCTTCTTCAAGAAATTTATTCCAGCAGTCTGTTTTAGCTCTTTTAATATCTGAAAAATATTCATTTCTGACAGTTTTGAACTCTTCATCAGATATTACATCATTCTTTCAATCTCTTCTAGCAGTAGCTAATTCTTTTCTTTTAGATGAGATATTCTCATTTCATCAAGGTTTTGAATACTCAGAAGATTTTCTTTTTGAAATATTATCTCTAACACTTGTTAGAATGATAGATGTAATAAGCTTCACTCTATTCTCAAGCATTTCATTTGAGATATCTTGACCAGAATTTCAATATAGCTCATTCTGTCTTTCAGATTTTAACAGTTTTATGCTTTCTTCAACTGCTTTTCAATCAGCTTTTTCAAAGTTATACTGATTAGAGAGAAGAGGATTTTCACTCATTTGTTTTTCACTCAGTTCAATATCAAATTGAATAATCTCATGACCTGATTCTGATGTCTCATTTGAATTAATAAATCAGTTTACAAGTCTTCTTTTCATTAGATTTTGTGACATGAATGTTAGATCTATAATAGACTTCTGTTTCATGCCTTTTCTAAAGAATGTTTGTTGATCAGACTTATTAACCAAATCTATTGAATGCTCAAAGATTCATTCAATCAGATTATCAGCTCTCACTGCTCTCTTGCATTCTGAATTTCATCAGAGATGATGTGTATTGAAATCTTCTGCAATTATAGAGTTTCTTGATGAAGTTATGTTCAGAAATCCTCTATCAATTGTTCAGATATTGTTATTTTCCTTCAATGACTTTTCATTATAGATATTTATGAGCTGTATAGTATCAAACTCATTTTCTTTATCTATAATATCACCCACCAGAATATCAGGGTCAGACATGATATTAAATCTTAGATTAAATTGATATCTTGATCTCTTTCTTTCATAGATCACTACTCTTGACTTTATCTCAGACTTTTGAGGTAAAAAGCAGTAGTAGCTTAAATGAGAAATGACATATTTTTGCTCAGCATCAAAATTCAGCTCCTGAAGCAGTATAAAATCAACTTTTTATTCAAATGCAATTTGAAGACAAGAATAAATGCAATTTGAGTTTCTATTCACATTATTTTGAATAAATGTGATTTTTGAAGAGTTTTTAAACTTTTTTTGTTATTTTTGTTGTATATTCATACTAAAAGAGAGTAGAGAAGAATCTAATCACTATCATCAGATAGTAGATTATAACTGTTCTGAAAAGTAGAAATCTCAACTGCTTGCATTATATCTAGTTTATCATCAGAGTCATTTCTCAATTCTCTAATCTTAACAGGAGTTTGAGAATTCAAATTCTGTTTACATTTCACTGAAGAATTGAAGTTTGAAGACTTAGATAATTGAGAGTTTCTTCTTTTTGAGCTTGCAGTTGTGAGTTTACTGACTTGACTCTTCTCTTCAGTTCTAGATTGACTTTGAGCTTCATCTTTTCTCCAGTTCTTTTGAGTTCTAGAAGCAAACATACATTCTTTTGAGCTAGATGCATGTTTTTCTTTACAATTAGAGCACTTAAGCAGAGTATGTTGATAAATTTCACCTCTTTTTGAGCATGTTTCACATTTATGCTCACTAGTTTTGTGATCTCTGGCACAGAATGCACATTTTGAGTCTCTAAAATATGAGATTACAAAGTGTTCATATCTTTGACAGTTTGAACACTGTGTTTGAGCTTTGAGATTCATTCTTGAGTCTTTGTATTCATGAACTCTCATTTTCAAACCTGCTACTCTTACTTCAGAGATCTTTGACTGTTCAAGTGTTTTTGTATATACTAGAACAGAGGCATTTCTCCTGCTTTGTCTGAACTCAATTGAATTTAGTCATACAGGCTTCTTTCTCAGTTGAATGAAGTTGTATTCTTTCAATTCATTTTTGAGAAGTAGCATTCCTTCTTCACAGTCAAAAATTTCAACTGAAATATCATGAAGAATGAATTTGTCCCACTTTTCATCTCTTTCAGATAGAATTGTTGTGTTTAGCAATGATTCTACTGCTGACTTTCAGAGATTCTCATTCTGAATAAGGAATTCAGCACTGAATTCAGGCATTGTAGTCAGAATAATAGAGTTTTCAAAGAATGATGACTCAATTGAAGCTATAACTGGTTTTTGAACTTTAATATCAGTTATCAACTGAGAAAAGAACTGCTGATTAATTTCATTTCTGATTCTGAAAATAAGATTTGAGTTTAGCTTATTTCTTTGCAGAATGTTCTGATTTGAGACTTTGAGAATGAGTCTTCTATTTCTAGAGATTTGAAAGTTTTTCTCTTTTTACATTTTCTTTTTCACTTTTCTATGAATAGAGGCATGAGCAGTATTCTTCTCAGTTTTCTCAGAATTTTGAGCAGGTTTTGAGACAGCAGGTTTAGAGACAGCAGATTCAGCTGCTTGAGCATATATTTTCTTCTGATTCAAGAAAGAAGAAGAAGTAGGAAGAAAGAAAGAAGAAGAGCAAGATGAAGAGTCAGTGATTATACTAGGAATTTTCAAGGTTTTTTGAACTGTGTTTGAGATTCCAAGTTTGAACTTGATCATCTTCTGTAGTTATCTGATCTGAGTATGAAGAATTAACAGAACTTCTTCATTCATCTCACTCAGACACTGCTTTCCAAGAATCTTACTTGCTTTTTCAAGTTCCTGTATTTCAAGAACTTGTTGTTTCTCTATTTCTTCTTTCTTTCTTCTCTTCAGAATTTCAATCTCAGAAATAGCATTTGAGAAAGCATCTTTTTCCACATCAACTGAGTGTATTTTTGAACTCATTGTTTTCACTCAATAAAAAGTTGGTCAGACTGTTTCAATTGAGATATTTCTAAGTCTGTTTTCAATTGAAAAGTTGATCAGACTGTTTCAAAAGAAGAATAAAAGACTTTTGTGTATAAAACACCTGATTTTTTTCACACTAGTTCAGTAACTAGGTTAGATTTTTGAAGAGAATCTAATAAACTAAAATTGATTTTTAAGATAAATCAATAAAATCTTTACAATCTCTTTCTTAGGGTACAGTGAGAAAAAGTATGATATCAATTGATAATAAATCAGATAATATGACAGTTTTTGAGAGAAAAACTGATAAAAAATAAATCAATTTTTTGCAGAGAAATTGATTAAAACTATTCAATTTTATTCTAAATCATTCAATTCTCCTCACACAACAAGTGTGCAACTCAAATCAGTTAATAAAGAGTGTAAAAAAGAATTAGGTATTAATGAAAGCTCTTCAGCCACTGAAAAAGTAATTCTTACTTAAAAGAATATGAAATTATGACAGAAAACAACTCTGTTTTTAATTCTTTGTAAGAATATTGTGTAAAACTCAGAGAAAAACACCTTACTTTTTCAAGAGAAGTAAAAAACTATTTCTAAGATCTTTTTTTTTTGCATTAACTGCTGCAGAAGAATGAGATAGAAACTGCTAAGATATGCACTACTGTATACTCTCTATCAAGACTTTCCCTCTTCAGAGTCTTGATATTATAGAGAATATAAGTCTGTTTCTATATGATAATATAAATATTGCCAGTGGGATGTAGAGAAACTGGTTATTTATATCTCAAAATAGAAGACTTTGTCAATGATTATATCAATATAGAGTTAATTCTCAAATTCAATAGAAACCTAGTGTTGCTGTTCTCAATCCCTTACAGAATCTATTGAATATTGAGATATTAAAACTAGATTTAATATATCTCACTGTGCAGGGATCAAAGGCTCAGTCAGACCTTGAAGTATACTGATTTTATAGTTATTGATGTGCTGTTGACTCATTGTCCACTGGTTATGTATTGAATACTGTTGCTGAGGTATCTTTTTGTATCATTCTGCTGGGGATGGGCCAGATTGAGAGGGGTAGTACAGGGGTGAGACTTGGTGTTGAAGTCTAGATACACTGGCAGCGGACCGTGGAGGTTGCACTTCAGAAAAGTCTGTTGATTATGTGCTTGATATTATCGCCGAGGTATCTTTTTGTATTTTTCTGCCGGGGATGGGCCAGATTGGGAAGGGCGGTACGAGGGTGAGACTTGGTGTTGGTGTTTTGGAACATCAAAGATGGACAGGGTTTTCGCGGAGGTCGCTCCTCGGATATCTCCACACTACAGGTCGGGGGTCTTCCAAAATCGAGAAGATTGGTGCATATGGCTAGGTCACTTCACCTTACAATTTGTATGGCACTCTGGCCCGGGGTTGTGGTGTGGTAGGGAAGAACGGGGGATAATCCCACACAGGAGCTTCGAACAACGTCCGGTTCACGTTTGGCTGGATAACTCCACCACCACACGGGGTATGCGGTCGGCGATGGGGTCAAAATGCTCGTATGATCGAGGGCTTTTCGATGGATCTATCGGCGGGTTCTTATTCGAAAAATCGAGCGAGTTCGTGGTGGAGCGGTTGACTCAAAGAATCTGAATCATTGATCAGTAGTCATACTGAGAATTATATAGCAGAGATATTAATGACTGTGATTAAAAATAACTATTGAGATATTAGTCTCAGTCTTCTTATAATTACAACTGACAATGCTGTGAATAACTACACTATGATGAAGAGCTTAGAGCAAAAATTGACTTTGCATTTCTGAAATAATAAACAAGGTTATATTTTCTGCATTGCTCATGTGATTCAACTTGTGATGCAAACACTGATAAAGAATCTTAACATTGAGATGAAGAATAATGAGATGAATGATTCTTGAGATAAGAATGAAATGAAAGTGATTACTCAAGTAACTTTTGCATTTACTTTGCAAAAGATAATATTTTTTAACAATACTTTTTAATATTACTTTTTAATAACACTTTTTAATAATACTACTGTTAATTTTGAATAGATTGACTAATAATTTAAATATCATAGATTCAAAACATTGCTAATGTGATTTATATCTCTTCTAAATAATAACAATAATTTCATGATATTCAATAAATAAACAAATCAGTTACATCACTGAATATGATACAGAATGTTAGAATATAATGAAGTTCAATATATAAGATAGCTGTTCAGACTCTTTAATTGTATCAGATGATTGATCATTGAGTGCAATACTCTGATTGAGAAAAGATTCAGATATTGAAACTTTCTGATATGAAGTGAACTCAGTTAAAATATGTGATTGATTTACTGTTTCAGTTTTATAAGATAATAAAGACAGTCTCAATCACTTGTATATCAATGCTGCAGTCAGTCTGATGAGTGTATAACAGTTTATTTACTTATCTTGAGAAGCAGTTGAATCACTTAAAAAGAAATTCAGTCTGAAATGATGCTATAGTGCAGACTATTATTACTGCAAGGAATAAACTGGCATATTACTACAGTAAAATGAAACAATCTTTTACAGAGTACTATACTATAGCAGCTCTACTAGATTTCTCTCATTGAGTTAATATCTACACTTCTCAAGATTGAACAGAGAAGAAATGAGACTCATATATCAAATTAGTCTGAGACTACTACAATGTCAACTATCAGAGATTTGAATAAGCAGATGTTTGAGATGTGAAGACAGTGAAATACAATTCTCTAGTAAGTAATAATCTTTGATAACACTTCATATTACATAGAACTATAATACTAACTTTGAAACAGAACTTGTATACATTGATTACAACTGAAAATCAGGTAAAATTACATACTTATAAAACTGAATTTGATCACTATCTTCAAGATAATTCAATGAATTTACACACTAAATCAATTCTAGAGTTATGAAAAATTGTTAAGAGTATATATTCAACTGTTACACTGATGATGTGTGATATTCTGATAATTTCATTGACAGAGATGAGAATGAAGTGAAAGTTCAACTCAAGTTGAGATATTTATTACTATTATTAGAGACAATTATAAGAAAAAACAATCAAGAAACTCATGATTGTAAAACATGAAATTATCAGATAGTTTAATATCTCTGATCACAGTATATCAGAGAAGTGTAGTTTTCATGAGAAAGTAATGAATAAACTTACACAAGAATGTATTTAGTTGTTTCATGAGTGTTATCAATAATTGTTATCAAATTCTGATTATATAAGCAATCACTGAATAAACTGAATGAGACTGATTTTGATCTTCAGTCTCAGTCTCATTCTGATTTTGAAAGAATGATCATCTTTTACAGTTTATTCTGGAAAATTACTCTTATTTCACTGTTCTTGAATTAAATCTGATCATTTTTCACATCATTTCTCTCAGAAATGGTTCATTTTCAGATTTTTTTAAGGCTTGGTCCTGGTGAGACTCACGCCAAGAAATGTATGAGATCAGATCAAATGAAATCAAATGTGAAATTCATGATTCCGTCAGCCAGTCTATTCATTTCTAGCTATTCTCAAGATTTTTATAAGATGAATAGAGAAGTAAGTTCTTCATATAATCTGAACTGCACTATCTGTGAACTCTGATAAATAGTATAAGAATTCACTATCTTCTTTATAAGTTCTCACATCTTCAGTCAGAAGTATTTTCTTATAAGTAACTTATAAGTTCTAGTGTCTGTAAAATGATCTGCTAGAGAAGAGTTATGATATCTTTTAATAAGTTCTATGTGTAGAAACTTATTTACAGGTATATAAATTCAGCTCTCTTTTCATAAGAGATTATTTAAGTCTCTTCAATTTTTTATTTCTGCAGAATTAATCTCTGTTATAAGCAGTTTCTGAATATACTGAGTATATTCATTCTTCAGTTGCAGTTCAGACAATCTGAATAGAAGATCTTATGAAGACTTATACTTTGTTTCTTCTTATATCAGGTCTTTCACAGTACTTCTCAAAGCTTACAAACTCTTCAGATTATAGATACTCTCTTCAAGAATTCTTGCAGAAATTCTCAGAGTGTTGACTCTCAGTGTTATAGAAAGTAATTGTATAGACTTATTCTCTCTTTCTTTTCTCTTCTCTTTTAAGAGATTAAGAGACTCTTCAATTAATCTCTTTATAACACTCAGTCTGAGTATCTTATAAAGCTTTTCTATCTTCTCTAATCTCTCTATATCTGTCATTCTGATCTTCTTAACATAGTCTGATCTGTGAGAGAGTTCATTCACTGAGTTCTTAGTTCTCTTGATATATTCTATCTTGAACTAGAACTCACTCAGTCTCTGAGCTCAGTGAATCTACTGTTATAAGAGTTTCTTAATTAAAGTAAACTATTTTAAGCTGTTATAATCAGTTCTAACAGTAATCACTGTTACAAGATTCTCAAAGTAGTGATATCAGTGATAGAAGAATTTCACTATTATAAGAAGTTTCTAATTATAAATGTTATAGTTGATCTCTGCAGATTGCATCTTCTGTGAGAAAAAGACTATTAAAACTCAGTTCTCATTTAACTGTAGTTACAAGACTATTTCTGAAATTATAAAGAAGAAGACATCTATCTTTAATCTGATTAAGAGTAAGAGATTAAAGTAAAATAGTATCACTATATCTGTGAATATCTGTTTTAATCTTATAAAGATCTTATAAGCTTCTGAGATAAGAAAGTTCTCACAGTTCTCTCTTCTTAATAATTTTTTCATTCTCTGTTTATAGAATAACTTCTTCTTATTTTCATTCTTCAGTATGTCTGTAAGAGTTAAGAAGATTCTTATAAACACAAAGATAAACTATCTATAGAAATTCACAAAGCTCAGAAAGATCTGAATTTTATGAATACTAGTTAACTTCAGCTATAATAGAATAGTCTTAATCTGTGAAGATTTCATCTGAATATCATCTGTAATCATTATATATTCTAGGAAATTAATCTGACAGATACTGAAGTTGCACTTTATAAGCTTAATATACAGTTCTATCTCATCTAAGATCTTTAACATACTTTATACATGCTCAGTGTGTTCTTTCTTCTTCACAGAGTATATTATTACATCATTCAGATATATTATTATGAAGACATTCAGATATACATGAAGTATTTTATTAATGAAAGACTGAAATACTGTGAGAATATTAGTCAGATCAAAAGACATTATTAGATATTCAAACAATCTCAGTGCAGTTCTAAAGACAGTCTTTCATTCATTCTCAGATTATATTCACAGTCATGTATATACATTGATTACATTCAGTTATATGAATATAACAGCTCTTACAAGACAGTTGATTACATTCTCAATCAGAGACAGAAAATAGTAGCTCTTTGTTATCTTAGAGTTTAGATCACAGTAGTCTATATATAATCTGAGATCTTTATTCTTCTTCTTCACAAATATCACAGAGGCTTCTGCAGAGGCCTGTGAAGATTAGATAAAGTTATTTTTCAGATTCTTCTTTACATAGGCCTGTAAGATCTCTGTCTCATAGTGAGAGAGCTTATAGATTAATTCTTAGAAGAGTTTCTACTCTTCTATCAAATCTATTATCACATTCTTCTTACAGTGAGAAGAAAGCTCAGCTGTCTTTACTGAGCTGAACATCTCTGTAAGATCTCAGTATTTCTCTGATATCTGAAGCTCAGTTTTCATAATCATAAGATTCTCAGACACTTATAAAGTCATTATATAAATAAGCTTATCTTCTTTAATTAACTCTGCAGCATCAACTGATTCTATCTTTATAAGTAAGTCTATTAACACTGATTGAAAGTATAAATCTGACTTATGAACAGCTATGTGCAGATTGTGTCTTTAAAGTTATACAAGTCTTAAGTATATATTATCTGTGATGTCTGTGATAATCACAGTTTCTGCAAATCTTCTTCAGATTTCAGAGAGATCTTGTAATTCAAAAATAATTCTTATAAGTCTCTCAGTTCTCAGATCTGAGTTCTCACATTCTACTTATTATAAGAGCAGATTCTCAGTTTTCATCTTTCAGCTTATTTACTCTGTGAGCTTTAGAGATACTACAGTGATCTGAAATTCTGAGTTCATTAATACTTTTCATACTTGCAGAGTAGTAGTACTGCAGTACAGTCTCTCTCTATAAGTAAGTATTTTTATCAGAGAAGCAACAGATTCAGATATCAGCTTTAAAATCTTTAAGAAGACTGTTACTGACTCTGTCTGTGACTTCTTAAATTTCTATTTTAATTTATCTGAACAGTTTGTATAAAGATATTCTGATTTAGAATAGATAAAGTAGAGTTTCTTTTTCTTAGTCTCTCTGTTATACACTCTATTTGCAGAAGCTTATAAAGCTCTCTCTTTCTACTTAGCAGTCAGATACAAATCTCTCTGTGTTTTATTATCTTTTTCTAATAAACCTGTTCTCTGTTATTCTGATTCTCACAGAGTTAATCAGTGATTCACTCTTTACAGATCTGTAACTCTCACAGTGATTCATAAGCAGTGAATAAGAGTTATCAGTTTCTTCAGAGTTAAGAGCTTAGAGTCTTACTTAATAAGCTTGTTCTGCATGTCTTTATTCAGTCTTTTTATGAATATTATCATTCAGATCTTGTTT